AAACTACCTGTCCTTTTTTTTTTTTTTTTTGTGGTGTCTTTTTTTTTTTTTATTTTTTTTTTTTTGTTGTTTTTTTTTTTGTTTTTTTTTTTTTTTTTTTTTTTTTTAATTTTTTTAAAAAAAAAAAAAAAAAAAAAAAAAAAAAAAAAAAAAAAGATACATACCCGGATTTGCTGCTACAGTCATCTTTTGCTGCATCGTAGGAGGGGGCCTTGTGATAGCAAGATTGTGAGCGTATCCCATCGCGAGATGAGTTAAGTAGGTGATTTCTCTGTCAAGGTAAAAATCATGCTCACACCTAGATCACAGATTAGCAAGCGCATCATTGGAGTATAGATAGACGAATATACATGCCAAGCTATGAAAACCAACAGGCCCTGAAGAATACCTAGATCTCGCTCCTCCATCACCAGCACGTGGTGCCCTACATAAGCAAGTATGCTTTTCCTGATCTCGCTCTGCTTCGCGAGCGGAAGACGGCACGCTACCAGCATGACAGCCCTGAATAGCAAGGGCTTCTTAGAGAGAATTTCCCTTGCGGGGACATCGGGATCGAGAACGACGAAAGGGAAAAAGGGGGTAAACTTGGTTCTGAAGTCGGATATTGCTTGTTCAGCTTGATCCCAAGTCAACCCAAATCCCGGCTGGGTGATCTTTTTAGCTGGCAGAATTGGAAGCGACTTCTCAGGTGGGGGGACGCAGGGCTTTGGAATGTTTTGCGTTACTGTCACATTGTACGGAGGACTTTCTGCCGTTGGAGGAGCAGGCGATGCTGTGCTCTGAGTAAGTGGTGCATCATCATTTGACGTTGAGAATGGGCAAGCTTTGGGCAGGACGTGCCCATCATTGCTAGGGTCTTTGCGTTCCGTACTATCACAGCGCTACTTTAGCAAATATTGACAGACTACCTCCTTAGGTACCTCCTATGTTCACTAATACTCAAATGGTCGGTTTGAACATAGATTCGGGATAAGCTTTAAATGGGGGACGTACTTCTTATTAGCCTTAATTTGGCGTGGTCTCCTTAGACTCTTAGAAGCCTGGGGAGTACAGGCGATTTTCATCCGCCGGCACCTAACGTAGCAAGCTGTTAGATCTATAACTTCTATTTAAATAAGGGGAGAGTGGAGGGCGGGATTGTGTAACCTGTTACAGCCATCATCAACTTTATTCTCTTCAAAGTGACATCGAGCCTTTGCCTTTGTGCAAGGCGCGCATGCGCGCTGACGCCTTGGCGGGCTCGGAGGACGTTGATTACTTCGTTGGCGATTGGGCGTGTTCGCCATTTTGGTGTCTTAATTAGTCCCTAAGCAGCTCCGGGCGCGCCGGGATTCAAACAATGGGGTCGCGAACCGGGCTGTCGGGTATCTGCCGTAATCACTATCCCGGCGTTTCTTTGCAGTTTGTCAGATACACGACGTTGTATGCACTGTTGGTAGCACGAAAAAAAAAGGTGGAATCATAAACCCGGATGCGACGCTTGCCAGTTTTTAGGACGGTCGAAAAATATAGTAGTAGATGAGACGGAAACGGGTCGAATACTTTCAACATCCAACTTGAGTACTCTGCTCTATTCTGTGTCTGTGTATTAGGAGGTGGCTCAGCGGAAATATTCCGGGTTATCATATTGATATTATTTGGCGGGAGTTAAGTAGGAATATGAACCAAGGACTATCCCGGCTTATCCCGCCTCCAGTTTTCTGGGTCCGACACCTTAACCCGGCCCCATATCGGGTTATGAATTGCTCCATATACAATTAAGTAGCCCCATCATGTCAGCAGCATTTGTTGTCGCGTGGTAGTGAGATCATCCAGGACAAAAGACTATATTAGGTAGTTTTCATACTCTCATAGACATACTTTCAGAGTCGTGTCCTTGATTCTGCCGGTATTCTCATCATATTGAAACCTTCTTGCGGGGAGTTCTGCAAGGTATCACAATATCTTCTTAATAATGAGGGCTTAATATTGCCTTACTATGCTACAAAAAGTCAAAAAGATTCGGGGCATAGGTACCTACCTAGGTAATTAGAGGAAGAGCAGGTATAATAGCAGTTGTGCTCATTTACGTCTAGAAGACGTGTTATTACTACATCAGAGGTACCTAACCTAATGATATACTGTGATGCCCAAGAGCGGCTAAAGGACCTCTTTGCTGTGGGGGAGGGGGAGGAGGGTAGAGAGGCATAATGTCTAGATATATACGCATACATATATCACCGTTAGGCGTCGATCCTTTATATAAGTGTATTTCTACAAGACACTCATGATATGAACGCAAAGAATAGGACAGTATAATATTACTAGCAGAGGTAAACAGGAATGCTACTCGGGGTTGAAAATAGTACAATATACTTGAATACACCCAAGATATAAGCTGGTTTGGTTATACACCGTTGCAACTCTTGTCGTGAAGACTTCTTTGCAAATATCTGCTACGATTAACACAATAGGATTTCTACGAAATAGCTTATATATAATCATTGACCAACAAAGTGTACAATCTAGATGTGAAGATTGTAACTTAGGGCGTCCGTTCCAGGTGCCCACCTCTCTGGTACTGATACACCAGCCCTCTTGGTTCTCATATACTCAATAGTATAGCCCACCGACCTCACCTCTAAAGGGAGGCTTCAACTGTCACTCACGCATGATCCAGGCCAATACTTCTACTCATTTGCTCACTCTTCTCTGTGCTGACCGGTGTCTGACTCCGTTCCCCCTGAACGATCCTCCCTGTCGTGGCATCTCGATCCACGCCATCGACGACCAACGCCCTCCTAGTACAGATATTCAACACATACCTCATAGTCGCGATGCATCTATGCAGAGTTGCGAATAGCTAATCTTGCGGTTACCCAACCAGGCACCATCTTTTTAGGAGCTACAATTTCTAGGTCACTTGCTCTTTTCCTTCCCACACATCCATCCCATCTGCCACCACCATTTTCTTTCGACACTTTACACTTTCCACACCACGAAGTGTACCACCAATACAATTACAACACAGAATAACCCATCAACACTTTCATCAACATTTCATAAATCATCAGCGGCTTTCTTTAGTCTTGTTTTACGTTTTCCTTTTTCCTTTTTCCTTTCCTTGTTCCCAGGTACTCCCGTTTCCATTTCAGCTTCCATTTCCAGATTTTTCCAAGAGTTCCTACTTGTTTACAATGGCGGGATCGCATTCTATATCCTCTGCTAGTGATGACCCCTTTCATCTTGAGAAGTATCGCCCAGCCTACCAAGCAGCCAGGGCGCAGGAGTCATTTCAAGCTAAGGAGTCTCGTCGCGTTCGGGTGCCCGCCGAAGAAGAAGAGAATACTTACGCTCAGGGGTCTACTTTAACCAAAACGCTATCCAAGAAGATGAATTTTCTCAGCAGCAGCGTGGTAGCACTTGGAAGAAATAAGGATAAAGCCGGTCGCGAGGAGATCGGATTCGATACACCATCTCCCTCATCTCAGGGACGTAGCTACAGGAGACTTTCACACAGTTTCGTATCTAAAGTTAGGGGTTTCTTCAATGATGGTGAAGTGCCACCTGGTACTAAAGGCAACATGCAACCAATGAGTGGAAGCTCGCTCAATGTGCTCAAGCCATTGGAACTACACGGCCCTGTGCAGCAACCAAAGGCTAGTCCCTCGCATTGCTCATCACTACAAACCAGTTTCTACAAAAGTGACCGATATAAAGCCTTAAAAGATAACAAGGCAACCGAAGTCTACATGGCCAGCACCGGTGAGAAGGGTGATGGATCGGATAAGGGGGACTTATCAAGGCGCGTTACTATGGACGGTATTGTTAAAAAACACGAGTTGCGCAGAGTGGGCGAAATCGACCGAGAGGGCAAGCGCAAGATAAGCGACCTTGAAAGAGCTCATAACGCACCTAATCTCTTGCAGCTGCACAGTCAGGCCGTCGAAGCTGGCTACGAAAATATTTCTGACCGTATGGACAACGATCCTGAGTGGGGAGGAAACCTCGGACACTGGGTAATTGATACCATAGCAGAAGCTCGTTCCACACATCAGTCTGATGAATTTCGCCCTTCTTCAATCGCAAACATTATTGACAATTGGGAAGCGTTTGACGATTTCGATGGTGTTTTCGCATTATCCGATAAGGACAGCCAGAAAATGAATGCATCTCGCACAACACCTCTACAAAAGTCAGTCAATTACGAACTGCATTACCCGTTGACTATCGACGACGAAACGATATATCCCGCCGACCTTATCATATCCGATATTCCAGCTGACGCCCGCGCTGAGTCCCGACCCATCACCGAGAGCAATCCGCTGTCTACGATGGCCCTGCAGAAACAATCATCTGCTCCCCAATCCGAGCCGGAGAAACCCAGTGTTTCGTTCCAGGAAGGTGCCGAAAACAACGATGGAGCTACCTCGAAGCCTGGAAAAGCAGCCGAGCAGACATCTCCCGCTGACCCACCTCACCATCCCGACTGGCCATGCCCTAGATGTGGCTTCTCGAACTTCGCGAGACGAACGGCCTGCATGCAATGCTGGCTGGAACGCGACGAACTGCTAGGCAGTTCAAGCCAGCGGGACCGCCACGTTACGTTCGCGAAGCCCAAGAAGTTCGAGGGCAAATACGCTTCAGCCATGAAAGGCTACGATGCGTCCCTCGTCGACGCATCGCTCATCCCCGAACCGCTCAGCCTCAAGTCCTGCCTCAAGAAGGCCCCTCGCAAGGACACGGGAAAGGAGGATAAGAAGACGCAGCCCAACTCCAACCCCAACCCCAATCCCAATCCTCGTGGCTTCGGTGGACCCGCTTCTGGTCGGAAGCAAGAAGCTACTACTACTACTACCACTACTGCGCCTAAGGAGGCCGACCAGACCGCCGCCGATATCTCACTGGAAGAGGACGAGATTATTCAGAAGATGGAGAGAATCGTGGTCGAGCTGTGCGACAACAAGGAGATCGTGCGAGGCGCAGTGGAGGGAATGATCAAGATCAGAGAGCAACTCGAGAAAGAGGACTAAAGCTAAAGACTAAGCCGTTAGGCAGTCTTACAAGAAGCAAGCTTCAAACATTCTCCTAGATCTGCGAGATGAGCCGCGTTGCCTTTGCGACTTTTCGAGATGGAGAGCTAGGAGATGAGGAGGAGGAGACGCCAGGGTATGGCAAGGAGATGGGAAAAGGAGAGATGACACGAGGACGAGAAAAGCCGGCTAGAGCTCGTACTTATCATGTAAAGGGGAATTCTATACCTCTTTTCTTTTATTGTTTTTTTTCTTCTATTCTATTCTCACTTGAGGTTCTAAGTTCAACCTTTCTTTTCCAATCTTGTACAATAACAGAGAAACACCAAAAAAGGGACAGGTTACGATGTCGTTGCGTTTTCGAGGCCGTTAATGTACGTATGTACTTAGATAAGGCCGATAAGAACAAACAAGGGCACAGACCACGTTGCAGTCTATTTTGATAAGGTACCTAGGTACCTGGGTACTTGATAATTGCTTAGACCCGCTGTTGAAGGGAATTGATTTGCGATTGCCAGCTGGCAGCTTTCGGCCACACCAACTTTATCTTGTAGTAATCAATCGCCTTTGCCTTTGAACCGCTGTCATTAGTTAATAACATTGAAGCTGTCAAGCCGTTAATAATCTAATACAAATTCGATTAAAGAATAAAAAAATAATAGAAAAAAAGCAAGAAATCGGACAATATGGATCCCTACTCGGCAGAAGGCGAACTAATTAACATCCACAACCACTTCCACCAAGGTCAATATCAGGAGGTCATCGACTTCGACACATCCTCCCTCTCGCCCGAAAACGCCCTACCCGCCCGCGTCCTCGCCCACCGAGCTCGCATTGCTCTGGGACAAGCAGAAGACGTCGTTGCCGACGTGCAAGGCGAATCGGAACCAGAGTTAGTAGCGGTGCGCGCGCTTGCCGAGTACAGCTTAGGGAAGACAGATGCGGCCGTCCAAGCTGTCGAGGAGCTTGCCTCGTCAGCCGGGGATAACCAGACGGTCCAGATCCTTGGAGGAACAGTCCTGCAAGTTGCTGGCAAGTCGGAGGAGGCTCTCGCATTATTATCGCAACATTCTGGTAGCCGTAGGTTTATCACCTGATACGCAATGCCGTGGCTGTTCGGTTTAAATACTAATAGGGGCTTGTTTAGTTGATGCTGTCGCCTTGATCACGCAGATCCACCTCCAGCAAAACCGAACCGATCTAGCCCTCAAAGAAGTAGCTGCGGCGAGGCGGTGGGCGCAAGATAGCCTGCTTGTCAACTTGGCAGAGTCGTGGGTTGGCCTACGATTGGTATGTATTGCACTGGATTGGGCATTTCTAACGAACAGGAGCTAACGAATTGTCTTCTGTCCAGGGAGGAGATAAGTACCAGCAAGCATTTTACGTATTTGAAGAACTCGCACAAGCCCCCTCGACATCCTCCCTCGTCTCCCTCGTCTCGCAAGCAGTATGCGAGCTACACCTGGGCCGCGTCGAGGAAGCGCAGGTCGCTCTCGAGCAAGCCGTGCAGAAGCAGCCCGAATACGCCGAAGCTATCGCCAATTTACTGGTTCTATCAGTGATTACTGGCAAGGATGTAGCCTCCGTGACTGAGCTTACAAAGTATGCTATAACCGAACTAAACTAACTTGAATGTTCCACGTATCCACGTATACTAATACTAATCATTGTCTTTACAGTTCCCTAAAGAAGGCTGCCCCCGAACATCCTTTCCTAATCGACCTCCAAGACAAGAGCGAGTTATTTGACAAGGCGGCCGACAAGTATAGTGCCAAGGTATCGGCTTGAAATAATAAGGGCGGCTAGCATGGAGTCTTTATGAATGTTGATACCTATACCAGTAGACCTTGGGGATGAAATATAAAGAAGAAAAAAGAAAAAGGCGAAGTTCATTTGGCTATGATACTCTACGAATATGATGAATACTACACGCATGCATGCCGCGTTGTTGTAATGTTGATTACGAATCTTAGCTAACTCCTTTTACTATGCTGCGAATCGAGGGGATCGAAATGATCTAGCTCAGTCTAGGTACTATCCAATAAAACTGTTGTTGTCTAATATCTTATCTTCGAAGCATAGCTCCAAATCCAGTATTCCGGTTTTTCACTTATGTCGAGTAACATACGAATCCGTGATTGGAATTATCATAGATACGATGGGTAATTATAGCGTTGTTACAGCGTTGTTACAGCGTTGTTTTTGCAAAGTTCACATAGTATAGGCCCAAGCGTTTGCGTTTATTCAAATGCACAATGACGACTTATAATATGTGCGGTGATAATACGATAATTATACGGCTTATAGGCCATCCACCTATCGATTACTTGTGAAGTTGTGCTAACAGCGTTCTAGCGATCTCATCATGCCTTAAACTAGCCTCCTTTTGGGATCAAGCTCCCGGTTTTTTTTTCTGCGGCGCTAGTGGACCGTCCCTTGGAAATATTGTCCAGTTAGAGAGCTTAGCCTGAACACGAATCATCGTGGGATTCATCACAGATGCCGCCTATGACATCACTCCGTCACTCGGCCCTTCTATGAATGGGCTCTCAATGCCCACTATTGCTTACACATATGCACTACTCTGCTGCTATCAACCATCATGACTCGTTGGAGCCGAATCTATTCTCAAACGGGTTGCCAGCTAATATTCTGCATGTGTGAGTGGGTTTTGCACCAGAAAAGGAAAAAAAGAACAACAACAAAAAACTAAAAAAACTGATAACAATTATCATAACATTATTAAAAGCAAATTTGTAGGTTAGATGTTTCGATGTGTAAGTTGTTAGCTTTATATGAAGATCATACAGGCCTAGACGGACTCGCCACTGGGTTTCAAGATAAATCTAGACTTCGGCAGATAAACATCGGAGGGCAGATCAGGAACCGCGAGGAACGGGTCGAGACCCATGTACATTGCATAGTATTGTGTAGCAGTAAGACTGGCCTACGATCTGTTGGTTTTCTTTTCTTGCAAGCCCCTGGTCTACTAGGCTGCTAGGCATGTATGTGGTGTATGTAAACTTGGCTAAGAAATTTCCAAAATGCCCCGAGTGGACCGGGTAGCGCGCAAGATATATGTCAACGTGCAGCCCGATAGGACGATGCCTTCGTCCACTGCCGGACTGGGCTGTACGCAGTACTCCAAATCGGCGCTTGCATGATACCCCTGTAAATATTACAAGGCCGGTTTACAACTAGGTAGCTGCTTTCTAATATGACGATGGCTTCGTTTGCTTACCTGTCCGGTCTCGTCATCGTGAAGGGTCCTTTTTTTTGTCCCGCCGAAAAAGTTCTGAGCTAACCAAGTGCTTTCTCCACGATGGCACACTCTTATATAAATCTGCCATGTCTTCGGATTTCACGATGGTTTATTCATTGCAAGACATAGAAAACACATCGATCAAACTATGCCATATCACTATTACTACTTTCTTTCTGTAGTATAGACTTCAGTTCACTTTTCTCTTAGACCTCTTAGACCTCTTAGACGTATACACAATACACACCAAAATCCAACATGCCTATCGCTCTTACACCACCTCCGGTTCCCGAAGCCAAAAAGCTCGGAGATACCAAGGCTCAACCCGCAAACAAGCGAAAGATTATCTGCTTTTCAGGTACGGTATTACCACATTCAATATTAGACACCTTCTTTTAGGGCGAAGACCTGTTTACTAATACAATAACTATTTAGATTTTGACGGCACAATCTTCATGCAAGACACCGGCCACGTGCTCTTCGACAACCACGGGTGCGGCTCCGAGCGGCGGGAGAAGCTCGACGAGCAGATCAAGAGCGGGGAGCGGTCCTTCCGGGACGTGTCGGAGGAGATGTGGGGGTCGCTGAACGTGCCGTTCGACGACGGGTTCGAGGTCATGAAGAAGAACCTCGAGATCGACCCGGACTTCGAGGGCTTCCACCGGTACTGCCTCGCCCACGACATCCCCTTCAACGTCATCTCCGCGGGCCTCAAGCCCATCTTGCGAAGGGTCCTCGACACCTTCCTCGGGGAAGAGGCCTCGTCGCGCATCGACATCGTGGCCAACGACGCGCACATCTCCGCCGACGGCTCCGAGTGGAAGCCCATCTGGCGCCACGACACGGAGCTCGGGCACGACAAGGCGCAGTCCATCACGGAGGCGCGGCGGCAGGCGGAAGAAGACCTGCGCAGCGAGCGCGGGGGCGCGGCGGTGGTGCCGCTGATCGTGTTCATCGGCGACGGCGTGTCGGACCTGCCGGCGGCGCGGGAGGCGGACGTGCTGTTCGCGCGGCGGGGCCTGCGGCTGGAGGAGTACTGCCGGGAGCACGCGATCGCGTACGTGCCGTTCGACACGTTCGCCGACATCCAGCGGGAGATCGAGCGGATCCGGCAGGAGGACGAGCGGGAGACGGGCGGCAGGGGCGCCCCCGCGCGATTCAACCCGCGCGCGAACCTCTGGCGCCGCGTCTCCAGCCAGAGCGCCGTGCCCCGCTACGTGCTCATGTCCCCGACCAAGGAGGACAAGATGTTCCTCTGGCCCGAGGCCTTCTCCGAGCTCAAGAAGCCCGAGCTCGAGGTCACGGAAAACCTCATCCCGGCTGTCGAGGGAACACTTCCTGCGCAGCAGCTAGTGCAGCCGGTGCAGGCATAAGAGGTGCGGAGAGATGCTTAGGTAGTTGGGGACTCTAGAATGCACGCACGACGCCATGGCTGGCTGCATTGTCTCATATCAGAGGGTTTTATATTGCATATCACGGCGTTTTCTGAGGTTTACTTTTTCTTTTCAAGAGCATCATATAGCGAATATGGAATTACAAGATACACCGTTTTGCGATAGCACGAGGAACATTTGGTTTGGTTTGGTTTAGGACAGGATATGAAGTTGTTTATGGGGGTATACATAGATTATCTATCTCTGTTTCGATAGGGGTTGATCCTATAGCAAGACGATATGATGTTGACTTAAGTCGTGGGGTTAGTTATTGGTATATTAGTAACTGACGATCTTGCTACTTTGTCGTCTTTGTCTAGATTGCCACCCACCCCTCTACCTCTACATAACATGATGATGATGACGACGCGACATCTGTGAGTCGATTTCCTGGTTCGCGGCGTGGTCATACAAAGTCCTAGAACGCAAGATAGCATTACCCAATTAGTGAGATCGAGCCAATGGGAAGTGCAGGAACAGCTGCTCTGCCCCCATTAAACAATCACCGATCAGCTCATTTGACGTCCGCCTAGGTACAATCCCTCCCTCAGATCGGAAAATCGGAATAAAGAAGGCAGGGAAGGGGGATGGAGGAAGCTGAAACGTCCATAGATGTTTAGGTTAGGTAGGTACGGAAATAAGAAGTCGACGGATACCTCGGCAGATTATTTGCGTTGGACAGGTTAGCTTTGGTTGCGGCAGACGCGGCATCATTAGCGACAATTTAGTCCCAATCACCTTTTCGTTTTCTTCTTTCTTTTGTTTGTTTTCTCTTAAGGTCTCCCGAATAGCCGGCATCTATTTGAGTACCTAATGTAGAAACTGAGTACCTACTAGAGAGCGAAGGGTTTCGTCTGATTCACCAAGAGGAGTACGATCCAGGTACCTAAGACAATGGAAATAGGCTACATGCCGTTGTATTTCCTCCAGCTGGCGATCTTCTGGAACGCGGGATCATCGATCGCCGCCGTCCTGCAGCTAGAGCCTAGTAGTGAGGCACAGCCCTATTGCTAATTCGAGGACTAACAGCCGATAACCCGTCTCGAGCTTCTTATTAGATACACCGTTGCGTCTATGTATAGGTTAGGTGGTTAATACTAATATGATATATGATTGTTAATATCGAGACTTGTGTCTAAAGTTAGCACAAGCTGGCCGGTACGCATATTTGAATAAATTGTGGTAAATTTGGCTGCTATACTCAGGTCGCGCATAAAAAAAAAAGAGAAGCTTTTCTGGCATTGGTTTATTTTATTTACCTGGGGATGCTTGGAACAAAAAGTAATACCGATCTATTTTTGGCATGTATTATTATTATGTCCGGTAAGTTTTACCTAATAACTTATCGAGATTGAATCAAATCGAATCTTAAGGATTTTAAGGTGCTGCTGTTACAGTGCTGTATCGTACGTATTTTAGGTACCTAACGTACCTAGCTAGTGGGTCCTAAGAAGCTATGATACAGGTACCTTGTACTAAAGGAATAGCAACTACCTGTACTGCCCCTCTAAAGAGAAACTTGGCAACCCAGCTTCAAAAAAACATTGTTGATTCCATGAACAAGCTTCTTCTTCTCTCCCGACTTGTTATTTTCTTCTTTTTCTTGCTTAGTCTTTTTATATCATATAACCTTTTACTTTATTCCTAAAACTTATATGATATTTTTCTTCCTAAATCCCAGATCGAGTAATTGCAAACTCAAAAGTGGCTAATCCCGTTGGTCTTATCCAGCTTTATCCTTAACCTTAGGTTTAGGTACCTTTACGTGCCTGGAGTTTTGACATCATATCGAAATCTTAGCGCACCACCTAGCAACCTAGACAACCTAACAACAACCTACCTAGCTACTAGGTACTGCTATTTACCAAGCCGCTTTCCAAGACGGGATCCAGCACAACGTCACCCGCGTCTGCCCCCATTCTTGTTCCTTGGAAAACCACCACTCACATCTTGTACCTCCGCCCTCTTTTAATCCGGCTCTCCTAAAAAGTCCTCCGCCATGGTTCGCATTATCCCTCAACGATTAAAAACCTACACCTCTAGTTCCACCATCAATTCTACCACCAATAGCCGCAGCACAAGTCCCATGCCGACGAAACTCGATGCAGCCGTTTCGGAGGGGCGTAAGGACACGGGGTTGGTATTGAAGATTGTCATACTTCGAGTAAGAGACAACGAATCGATACACGATATCAGATTTAGCTTCAATTGCGCATTCTAACTTGCATTGATATATATAGGCCAGGGATTTAGCTGCCAAGGATCGTGGAGGCACATCTGACCCTGTATGCCGAACTCTCCTCTTCTTTCTTGCTATTCATCCCTTGCCCCAGAAGAAAAAAAAGGTAATATGCAAATGCAGACTTTGCTAATATTCCGTATCTTCAGTATCTCCAACTGACCTGCGGCGAAACTAAATTTCTTACACATCATGTCCCGAAGACCCTAAACCCCGAATGGAATGTCATCTGTACCGTACCTATTACCGGCGTAGAGAACCTACTGATCGACTGTATTTGCTGGGACAAGGATCGCTTTGGCAAGGACTATCTGGGCGAATTCGATCTAGCCCTCGAGGAGATTTTTGCGAACGAGAAAACCGAGCAAGAAGCAAGATGGTATCCACTCAAGAGCAAGAAACCGGGTAAGAAATCGAATAATGTCTCAGGGGAGGTTTTGCTACAATGCACCTTATTCGACTCGGCAAACAAGGATGCGACAGATGCCCAGATATTAGAAAAGCTGCATTCGCTTGCTACCGCTTTACCCGAAACCACATCCCACAATGTCACCCCTAATATGACACCCAGGCTTAGCCCGACCTCGATGCCGAAGCTTGGCTCATCCTCGTCTCCCCAGTCGAGTCAGAACACCACCGACGGATCTCAGGACGACGAAGATGATGACGAGATTTTGGACGACGACGAGACTCCCGAGGATGAGGACCCGAGCAAGCCCGATGCTCTTGAGAAGAGGAAGAGACGGCTTAGGATCAAGGGTTTAAAGCGTAAGAGAAGACAGAATCCCTACGAATTCGTCAACGGAGGTAGCGATGTCGTCGGCTTAATCTTCCTCGAAATTTGCAACATTACCGACCTTCCTCCCGAATCCAACTTCACGAAAACCAGCTTCGATATGGATCCCTTTGTCGTTGCATCCTTAGGCAAAAAAACGTATCGCACGCGCGTTGTCCGACACAACCTAAATCCTGTCTTCAACGAGAAGATGCTATTTCACGTACTAAACCACGAGCAATCGTATTCGTTTGCTTTCACAGTCATCGATCGCGACAAGTATTCCGGAAATGACTTTATTGCCTCGGCCTCCTTTCCCTTGCAGGGATTAATCGAAAGGAGCCCTAAAGCCAATCCTGAAACTGGATTGTATGACTTGAAGGAGCCAGCTGAGTATGTCCCAGCCCAAAAGTCAAGGCTCGCAAGACTCGGCCTCTCGCGATCATCCTCAACTCAGAGCTTAAGTAAAAACAGGCCCATGTTGCCCAAGAATTCTAGTGGGGCTCCGGCAACATCCCAAGAACAGGGAGAGTCGAAGGCAGCACCAACAACTGTCCCCAGTCCCGGGTTGCTTCAACCAGAGCAAGTTCCGAACCTCAACAGCGGCAACGGAAGCGGCGAGGGCAACGAGTTTGACGACACCGATTTTACCGTTGTCACAATTCCGTTGAAGATGAAGAATTTGGAAAAATGGGAAGCCAAACATAGCCCGATGCTGACTATTCGTGCTAAGTATATGCCGTATCCTGCTTTAAGACAACAGTTCTGGCGGGCTATGTTAAGACAGTATGACGCGGATGAAAGTGGTGAGATCAGTAAAGTTGAATTGACCACTATGCTCGACACGCTTGGCTCAACCCTGCGAGAATCGACCATTGACAGTTTCTTCCAACGATTCCCCCATAAGGCAAAGAGTGGGGAGCAGGAACTTACCATGGATGAGGCTGTCATATGTTTAGAAGATCAGCTGGATGCCAAGAACAAATCAGCTCCGGTGACTGAGAAGCTGAAGAATATGCTGCCTGACACAGAAAAGGTGAAGAACATGCTGAATCTGACGAGTCAGCCTGGCAGTGTCACGCCTTCAGAAGAAGGCTCCTTTACTCTAAACGCAGAAGACTCGACTGTTCAAGGGACTGTACCTGGAACGTCGACTATTACTGTCCCCGATCTCAGTACATCTGGGGAAGAGGGCGATGCATTGGATAAGGATGACCTCAATATTGACCGCGGTGAGGAACATGTCGTAGAGATTCGGGAATGTCCCATCTGCCACCAGCCTCGACTCAACAAACGAAAGGATGCTGATATTATCACCCACATTGCTACGTGCGCCAGCCAGGACTGGCGTCAGGTAAATTCATTAATGATGGGTGGGTTCGTCACAGCTAGTCAAGCACAAAGAAAATGGTATTCTAAGGTTATCACGAAAATTTCGTATGGTGGTTATAAACTCGGCGCCAACTCGGCAAACATTTTGGTACAGGATCGCCTGACTGGACAGATCAACGAGGAAAAGATGAGTGTATACGTACGACTGGGCATCCGATTACTATACAAGGGCTTGAAATCTAAGGATATGGAAAACAAGCGAAGTAAGTGTCAAGTTCATCGAATAAACCATATACCGCTACTAACAGTGTCTCAGTCCGCAAGCTTCTGAAGAGTCTAAGTATCAAACAAGGTAAAAAATACGACGATCCTGCTTCGAAGGCTCAGATCCCAGGCTTTATCCAATTCCATCAGCTGGACATGTCTGAGGTTTTACTCCCTGTCGAGGAATTTAAGAACTTCAACGAGTTCTTCTACCGCGCCCTCAAGCCAAACGCGCGGCCCTGCTCGGCTCCGGACAACCCCCACATCATCGTATCGCCCGCCGACTGCAGGTGTGTCGTGTTCAACAGTATTGACGCGGCAACTAACATCTGGATCAAGGGCCGCGAGTTCTCCATTAAGCGACTACTCGGAGACGCTTATCCGGAAGATGCTAAGCGCTATGAGAATGGTGCACTAGGGATCTTCCGTCTAGCTCCTCAGGATTACCACAGGTTCCACATTCCTGTAGATGGTATTCTCCGTAAGCCTAAACTTATTGCTGGTGAATACTACACGGTCAATCCCATGGCGATCCGGTCTGCTCTAGACGTATACGGCGAGAACGTCCGCGTCCTCTGTCCTATCGATACCGAACTGTTTGGTCGAGTTATGGTTATTTGCGTTGGTGCTATGATGGTTGGCAGTACGGTTATCACTCGAAACGAGGGAGAGGAAGTGAAACGAGCCGAGGAACTTGGATATTTCAAATTTGGCGGCAGCACTATCGTTACACTATTTGAACCCGGCAAGATGGTATTTGATGATGACCTTGTAGACAACTCGAACAGCGCTCTGGAGACACTGGTATGATACTTACCCCTCTTACGCCCTATGCTGCATGCAAGACTAGAGACTGACATACATGCAGATTCGAGCCGGCATGTCAGTTGGACATTCTCCACAGGTACCTCAGTTTACACCAGACATGCGCAAGGATGAGAAAGACGTTACGGAAGCGGAGAAGGCAGAAGCTCATCGCCGTATCCGTGGTGGTGGTGACAGCCCAGACGAAGCGTCTTTAACATAGGAAGAAGCTCGATGACAAGTAAGACGGGAAGGACATTGCATTCGGACGGCGTTATACATAAGTACCATAAGCGACGGCTTTTTCCGAAGATTGGATTCCATTGGGTGGATAGACGAGACATTGAGCATGAGACCGGGGGGAACTTGCAGCATCTGTCTAGAAGAAAAGTGGACATATAGCAACCAAGAGGGGAAAGGGGGTTGAAAGGTGAGGGGGGGCAATGCAGTCGCTAGCGTTCATCACACTTTTCAGCAAGGGGAATAGGCGCAAAGCAGAGACTATTAATGTATTATACATTGGACATGCAGCTAGTTACAGCCAGTTATAGTCAGTTACGGAGTGATGGTTCGATATCTGACAGCAGGATACATTATGTGTACCTACCTAGACACAGCCCCCCGTGGTCGACCCATTTTCGTATAGGCGTCAACCACCCGAATACTTGACTTCTATGTGCCTTAGGTAGGTACCTAGGTAGGCTTTATAAAGTCGGCGCGTATGTCACAATACGATGTTTATGCAGGGGGTATTATTATATGTGTGTTAGGTACACAAGGTGTTGTTCTCTTTGGAATGGGATCATAAACCCCGTTTGGATCGTTTGGACATGAGAAGGGATCCGTATTTTTTTATATATAGTTTTTTATTTTTTTGAGACCAACGGGGTTGTTTTTGTCAAGAACACACCGATATTTCCATTTCTGTAGATGCGGTCAAGAAGTCGGTATGCAAATGAAAAGCTTCCACGTGCATAGAAGGCGGGATGGATTGCGGGGCGGGAATTGGGATAGAAGATGTCATTTGCTGTCATCTGCGGTAATTTGGTTCTACGAGCCGTTACCCTAGTCGATACTCACGTAGGTACCTGCGCGCCGGGTAACGGTAGAGTCACGGATTAGGATAAGTATTATGGGGTACTTGTGCTAGGGCCATAGGTACCAGGACCATGCCGCCATGTGAGGAACTTAGTCTGGTAGGTAGAGGTAGGTAGGGAACCCTAAAGAGGAACCTTCACTAAAAAAGAACCTAAAAAGAACCTAAGGAATAGGTACGTACACTACTACTTACGGTTTACTTTAGACTACAAAGACTACCTCATATGTACATTGGGTGGTATGCAACCACCTTAGGTAGTAGATACCTAACCTTGCACCACCTAAGCACTTTAGACGACTCACTTAAAGTTTTTGTTTACTTTGAACCCCGCATAGCAACGGGATGCCATTTTCAAAAGAAAAACATTACAACTTAAGGAATGCCGCGGTACTGGCTTAATAAATCCACACACGAATAGACCCTTACAGCTATTTTGTACACTAGCTGGGCTCTAGTTGCGGCCCAGCTTTTTTACAATAGCACGCATACAAACAAGATTTTTTCTTTCTTTTCGCGACTTTCCACTTTCAATTGTGCAACGAAAGAAGAAGAAGAAAAAAAAGGGGGAAGTACGGAATAGGGCGAATTGGAGTATTGATTTCAATTGAGATCCCCATTATTGACATTGACATTAACATTGATATCGATATTGATATCGATAATTTTGTACAAGCACCAAAAATATCCATCAATCTGCAGCATCCCGTATACGCCAATGCGGACAGCTCTGAAAGCGAACGCCACATCTCTCGTTGCTTACTCCTGTGCCGGGTTTAATAATATTGGTCGGCAACGAAAACGGTAGATTTCTGAAAAGGCATCAGATCGAAAAAAAAGGGGGGAGGAAGAATCAAGAAGGGAAGAGAAGAAGAAGAGAAAAAAAGCAAGATGGTCGACCAGGATAACCTTCGCACGGCGTCGCTGTATATCAACAATCAGCTCCTATCGCGTGGTCTCCTACGTGATGGTCATAACATCAACTTCGCAGACCCGGAGTCTGGCGACGGGGGAGTGCAGGGCACCATGGGCAAGGTCATGAGCGTTATTAATGACCTTATCCTTAGACGTGACGTACGTATAACATTGTCAAGGTCTTTTATGATAACGATGGAGTGTGTGTCACATGCTAATACTTTTTGCTTTCCCTACAACAGCGCGACGCTGAGAGCCGAGAATCCTTATCTACAACTCTTCGGACACTCCGCGCTGATTCACAGCGTCAGACGACCGAGATCTTACGACAATCGGAAAAGCTGTCCGACGCCCAGCGAAAGCTTGATTCTGCGGAGGCTACGGAGCGTGCCCTGCGTACCCAGCTCAAGATCGCGGATCAGAACATCCACCGCTTGAAAGACGATGCTGTCAAGATGAAGACAATAGTAGCGCAAGCGCGCGCTGCCTGCGCTAACGAAGTCCGCAAGCGAGACCGCCAGATTGATAGTCTGAAGAAGGCCGTCACGGACGCCAGCAGAGTAAGAGGCGGCGGTAAAAGTCGGGATGTCCTATGCATCACCGTGATAGGAGAGATCGGCGGTGATGAGCGTGGGATGCCTGCCGGTTCGACCGTAGCCGAAGGCTACAGCCTACGCTTAGAGACCAATGAATTCCTTACCGAACTGGCAAGGGGTCTAAGCGAGGAAAACGAAGGTCTGCTCGCCCTAGTTAGACGTGTAGTCGATAAGCTGCGCGAGATGAGCGGTTTAGAACGCGGCTCTGAAAATCTGAATGGAGCCAGGTTTGACCACCATTCAGACAACAATAACGCGGATGTGGTGCAAGTGGCACCCCAAAAGACCGCCAATGAGCTCGCGTCGGAGTTGGAGGAGATCATGGAGCATCTTAGGACGATATTAACAAATCCCTCCTTCGTGCCGATCGAAGAGGTCGAAATACGCGAGGAGACTATCAGTCGCCTTCGCGCCGGCTTGGAAATAATGGAGTCCCGCTGGAAGGATGCCGTACATATGATTGACGGCTGGCGGAAACGAATGGTGTCAAGCGGCCAGTCAGTCGACGTGGAAGACCTTCAGATGGGCCTACGACTCAGTCCTGTTAGGGTCAGGGACGTCCAGGAGACGGCAGATGTTGTGCCTATGAGACTCTCCTGTGTCCAAGAGGAAGACGAAGAAGAGGAAGGGGAAGAAGAAGAAGAAAGGGATCAGGAGGAGGAATACGATGAAGAAGAAAGTATCGAGGCGCGCGAAGAGGTCCAAGAGAACTCACGCCAAACGAAGTCTCCAAGCCCGATTGAGTCTTTACACCTAATCCCAGCACCCGGATACCAAGCCGCAGAGAACGAAGAAAGCGATTCAGCCTCGGATTCTAGCAGCATCTTCCAAGATGATATAGATATAGACGAGCTGGATGCTGAAGAACCTAACGTCCAAGTCCTTCAAGAGTCTACCTATGCGAACTCGATGGATTCGCCCCCTCTCCCTATGCCACCGCAGCTCAGCCCGCTCAAGGACTCTTATTCGGCAGGAAATAAAGGATTCTCCGAGCGGGATTTTGCATATCGCAAGCACGCGGACTTTACGACTATTATAGAAGAAAACACTTGGGATTTGGCGGAAGAAGAAGAAGAGGAGGAGGAGGAGGAGGAGGAAGAGGAAGAACAAGGACCACCTCCGCCGCCACATATAGTCAAGCCCCAGTCTCCAAGGTCTCCGCATCAGCATCAGCAGAAGAAGTCAGTATCATACAAGAATTCTCCACCATGGCAAGAACAACCCCGGCCAAGTTCAACTGCCTCGTATGAGAGCCCCCTATTCGGTAGATCCGGAGAGAGGCCGTCACAGTCGGACCCTTCTCGCAAGTTGTTCTCGAAGCCCACCCCTAATCTAGGGAAGCAAATGTATACCAAATCTCAGCCAGAGCCAGGTAGCACAAACACACAGGCTCCCAATAAATCATCGAAGAGGCCAACTTCGTCGCCGGATCCCTTGGCCGCAGAGATGAAACGAACAAATTCGGATCCGACCAATCCTCCATCACGTCAACAATCCTCGTCGAAATCTATTCGTCGGGTACCTGCTACTACACAACAGCAAACGCAAACCATATCATCGTCTTCTTCCGCCTCTTCCTTAAAATCTGCGGCCAATGCAGCAGAGCGGCAACAAGAACAAACAATATCACGTCCGCGCTCGCCGGTTCGTAGCAACCAAGCTACCAACACCACTACAAACTCTTCACGTCTTCCCCGACCCAACAGCACCAACCCAGCCCCCCCACAGAGCCCGTTGACTATGGCCACTATCGCCGCGAAGCTAGCGGCCTCAGAACGCGAGGCCGACGCTGCTCGTGTAAGAGCTAAGCTAAGGGCTGTCCGATCTGGAGGTCAGAGACGTAACCCTGCCCTCAAGGCTCCTGCTACGACCGCTCCCAGCTCGCCTCCCCGAGAGACAAGACCCAACAAGGTTGAACCTAAGCAGGAGGGAAATGGCCTCGCCTCGATAGATCCAGTCAAAAAGGACAAAGATCCAGCTCAACCTCGTTCCCGAGGCGGGACACCAGCACGACGAACAAATCCCACGGCAGAGATCAACGAAGTTGACGAGTGGGCTGGATCCATCAGAGGTCGAGAGAAGGAGCACAATACTGATGGTAGCCCTCTTAAACAAAACGGCGGTAGTCCCCTCAAACTTGTCAAGCGAAGACGTAACCAAAACGAACGCCATACGAGCAAAGCCGCGTCCCGTCGACGAAGTACACTGAGCCCTTGGGAGTTGGATGCTCTTATCCAGGGGCCGGGGGCCGGGGTGGATTGTAGCTAAACCAGACTGACTACGCGATATCTACCGCAATCTATTCCATCACGACCCTGTATTTATCAGGGTATGATGATATAGGTGTAGGCACTTAACATGAGGCCTACCAAAAAGCCCCAATACCGGGCCGGCTGGCTCCATTTCACTAAAGCAGAAAATGATGACGATTGTTACGGTTTATTATGCTATGCTATTATGCTTAAAAAGAAAAAAGGAAAAAAACAAGAAAGTAACGACTGATATGAAATGAAATAAGTATGTTTCTAAGCTGGGGGGGGGGCATATAATAGTTCTAAGATCCGGAAGCTCAAAGCGAAAGGAAAAAAGAAAAATCGGTGCTAGGAGGGATGGAGGGAAGTTGTTGTTGGATATTCAAGGGGGGCCCAAGGCGGGAATATCATCATCATCATCATCATCATCATCACGTTACGAAGATCACGTACGAAGCTCCAATCTGGCCAAGAAAGAAAAAGTCTCCATGGGCGGGAGGATCGGGCGAGACACAATTTATTTATTGATATGAACGCCGTTGGATGCTATGATTATTACTACTTTTACTGCCTACCTACAGAACAGAACAGAACAGAACAGACGGCGAGAATAGAGCCCGGTCGTTCGTTTACTCCTCCAGTATTTTACTTTGTCTTATACCAATGAATGAGAGTATGATTATCTACTTACTACATTAGGTACTTAGGTACCTAGTACATACCTGGCTATTTTTGGTAAGGGGTTTCGATGGTTATTTCGTGTTGAATTTGTTACGTATTTATGAAAGATTTGAAGGGTTGGAAAATGAATGCTTTCTTATGGACTAACTCAGCCTTAGGTAGGTGCTAACGCTTATACATTGCTTTTGATTATACGTGTTCCGTAGACCTTAGAAAATGTTATGTACCTAACCTACCTAAACTAGTAGGATATAGGTAGGTGGGAAGTAGACCTTCGGTAAGCTGATGTTGATTCGACTAGATTAGTAAATAGGAGGTAGATATCGAGGTAGGTAAGGCACCTGGGCAGGTAGATGTATAAATGGTGTCTTGTAACCCTCAGGCTTAATACAGGGACGGGGTCGACGGCGAAGCTTACTTGGACAATAATTTAAGAGAAATACATTAGGCACGTACATACGTATCTGGTGATGGAAGGTCCGTGAAGTAGCTCGCAAGTTTCTCCTCGGGGGAAAAATAGAGATTTATATCATCAAGGTTCCACACACAGTGGTTACTTCAAGGAGCTCTGGTCGTCTATGGGGATAGGGGCGGGGAAGTTCCAAGTTAGACATCACAGTCGCGAGAGGTATTATAGAGAGCCTGCTACCTACCTAAATAGCAAAACGTGATGAGAAGGCATTACACAAAGCACGGGAGCCGACACATTCACTGCGTCGATACGGTCAAATAGTTACTACACGCAAAAGCAAACGCGAAAAAAAAATAACAATCGGTAAGGAACTTTGGTCGTCGTCCCCGAGCCAACCCCTGCTGAGTAGTTACAGTAGACTGACATGTTCGTGTCCTATTACCGACATTAATCCACAAGAGTATTAGACAGCTACCTACCTACCTAGGTATATACCTTTAGGTACATATACCGCAACTGGTTGTACATGAATTGGCATTTTGCAAAAGGCGGCTATCTAGAGCGTGCTATTAAGCAATTGAATAATGCAGAGGCTACCCTAGCCTATGCCAACGTGATATATATTCCACGACGTATCCTCATTCGATACCGTCGAAATTGACTGTCATGCGCAGGTATTTGTTCTTAACCCTACTAGAAACCAGATTACGTATTGTTCGGTACTCTCCCTGGTTAAACTGACCCATCTTGATATGGACAAGGTTGGCTGTTCTATGACAGTTCGTTGTTCCAGAATTGTAGGTGAGTATTGAAGAAGCGTTGCCGATCGGGATGCATCGATGGCAAGTGAGCCGGCGCCCTGCTAATAACCTGAGCATTATGATGAGAAGCAGCCCACTCCTGAAGATCCGCCTTTGATTGTTTCGCTCTGTGGTATATCGTCTTAACCCCGCGTTTGATGAACTTTGCGAGCAAGGTGTCCGGAAGCTGTTCATTGGAGACATCGATACTACGCAGGTTAGGAAAACGACTGATGAGTGTGAGTAAGGCCTTATCGCAGTCCCTATGTTGGCAAAGGTTCGCTGCAGTTAGTCCAGTAATGCTGAGGTATATGATGCTTTCGCTTCTAAACCAGTTAGGGGGCTCAATTTCGAAAGCGTTTCCGAATAATGCATGTACGGGCAACGGTCGTATGTCAAGCTCTCGAAGGGTACCCGATTCTAGGCTAGGTCGAGCAATGCTTTCAAACTCAGAGGTCTCGAGGCGGTAGGTCAATAGTATTGATAATCTCTCGAGTCGGCGAAGCTGAGGGAGGGCTGAAGGTCCAACGTGAACTGTTAATAGCCAAGGAGGGTGAGGGCTGCTTACGACCACGGAAGAAGAATACATACCAAAGCGTGAGTAAAGAGACGGGCCTTCGAAATGTAGTTCACGCATATCTTCATTAAAACCACTATCCTGGTCGTCTTCGCCGGCGATCCTGTATAAACGAGCAAAATCTCCAACAAATAGGTTTCGCAGTTTTGGCCACTTGGTCATCAGCAGCTTAGCCGAGTATCTGACGTTGTCAATCCAGGCCTCTTCCACATTAGGAGTTAATTCTATGATGTCGCGCTACATATCGTCAGAATCACCGAACAACCTTCGTAATGAAGCAAACTTACCAAGTCTGGAACCTCAACTAAGCCCGATTTGTGGACGGGATGTCCAAGTCGGATAACTCTCAACTTTTCAAGCTTTGCCCAACCAGGATGCCACATCGTATCAGGGTCGACCACGGCGTAATCCGGGAGCTCGAAGATCGAAAGCTCTTCTAGCGAGCTCTGAGATGCATTTACCAGTCTCTCTAGAAGTCCAAGTTGCGGTCGTACTCCGTAACCCATGAAGAGGTGAGTGAGCTGTGGCAGTCGGAATTGTGGCGGTAGCGAGTCCAGTTCAGCGGAGCCGCGCGGATCTCGAATTTTAAGCACTTTAAGCTGCTGAGAGATTTCTAGGACCTGTGAGAACTTACACCACTGCAAGAAGTGGGACAGGCCATCGATGGACAGTTCTCTAAGAGCATTTTTGCTGTATTTATTATACAGCTTGAAACTAGGTAGCATCCTTCTAATACCCGGATGGCTTCGTTGGGTGAGCTTGTACGACTGGATACACCACAGGCTTCTAAGAGCGTCTGATTTGGTCAAAACGTTGTTCCAAGGCTTGGAAACTCTCAAGCAGCGGCTATCGGTTGAGTCAACAAACAGCAAGATAATATTGAAAAGAGAGCTTACCACAAGGACTTGAAGTCAAGAAACTCGAACGTCATACGAATAAGTTCGACGGGAAATTTCTTGACGGGATCATATGCGGCTAAAGTAGCCACCTTATCTCTCTGAATTCGCAGCTTCTACGTAAATGGTTAGGAGAGTCCATGAGTGAATTTGACGCATATACGCACAGGTAGCAGAGGATGATGAGGATACTTTCTCTCCACAAGTTCGATGCCTTGTCTGTACATGTGGTACGCGAGGGTCTGCTTGCCTTGAAGGCGAAGGATCTTACCGAGACGCAGGTAGGCCTAGTAGAGGTAAATAAACTTGCCGAGGTGGTTAGGGACCTAAGCCAGCCAGCATACCTTGGGTTCCCTTGGAGCGAGGTTGACCATACCCACGGCAAGGTCAAGACATTTGTCTAATTTAAGCCACATCTCATATGTGGCGATAAGCGCGTCAACAGCGCGAACATGGACTTGTTTATCACAGCGCTTGGTACGAGATGTTAGAGCTGAAAGGGTGTCTTTCAGCTGGTTGTTTTCTATTCCCGTCAATATCTCTTCGTTCAAGTCCAATATCATCCCGTTAGGGATTTGACAGCTACAACAATTCATAGCCTAAGAAAGTAAGCGCGTGCAAGCATTCGATAGATGAGGAATAACAAACCTTCTTGAATAATTTCGCCGCAGCTCCATAGTCTTCTTGCGCATACAACTCCTGGCCCTTCCTAAGGGCGAGGGGGCCCGCTGCCTCCTGAGCTGACGCGGAGTTCACGGAGGTTGCCATTATAAAAGGGAAATCGAAGCGTACCGGGAAAAAAAAATAAAGAAAAAAGAAGCTGTTGATACGAGACGAGAGAGCAATTACTGTCAACAGGTACCTAGGTAACTAGAGAAAACAAGGCATAGTCGAATCAGGCGTTTTAATACGTAGATGCGGGTTAATGAAGCAGCCAAGCGAGACGCGTTAAGTGCAGTTGCATTTAGTGGAGAATACGTCAGTGTAAATTTCAATAGGTTAGGTCCTACCTGTAGGTACAGGTATGTAAGGTTTGAAGGTTTGGCGGGGTAGCGGGGTAGAGGGGTAGAGGGGCTACCTGAACCGGTACCTAAAGTACCACATGCGAGCTCTACCAACCGGAGCGTACACATCTCCAAATAGATTCAAAAGTAGCTCTTGAATGATATTGAGGTGTATAAGTTTGTTACGAATTTACATTATAGAAAAAACAGTTATGCTAAGTGAGTACCTTTAGCGTGGCTAATTTTAACATTACGGTAAACTTTATGCATATATGTGCATATCCGGTCCTTAATAAGTATAAAAGAATTTCTTATAATTTACACGTTCCTTATTAAATGATCTTATTTTATTACATACAGAATCATATAATACTATATTCTATTTTAGTAATCATGTTAAAATTAACTATATATATTATCCAAGTATATATTCCAGTTATATTATTGACGGGGTATAAAAATCCATCGTCGAACTACATATATTCAAATTTCCTGATGGAATATATTAAGCACCTACGACCTTATATCTATCTCATACCTCATATTCATATGCACATAGTGTATAATAAGGGAATTATGCCCGGGGTAGGGAAGATATAATGGGAGTGTTCACCCCATGCTATATACAGGAATAGATAGTAGGCATACCGATCCTGTATCTCATGTATCACAACCCCCCCGGCCGCGAGATGTGGCACAAAACTATTCGGGGGCCAAATTAAGGGAACTCGTGACCATTTCGACCACAATCCATCTGATTGTAACAACCTGAAATTAGGTAGGCAGATTACTATGTCCCCTTGTCCAATTTAAACTTATCAAACATGATAATCCGTAGCCGCAGTTTTCGTAGCACACAACTTACACATAGAGCAAGGCCGAGCAGACCACCTCAAGCGCTTCCTCTTACACATTACATTACATTACATTACATTACATTACCTGATGTTACTAGCTTACAGATATAGTTAGCACGCAAAAAGCTATACGAAGTAAATGACGTATGCGCCGTTACCCACATCATCCCGCCCGGGCGGAATCTTCCTAGTCTCCGCCCGGTAGCATCACCCCATATTCATCTCTTAGGCAGCATTCCCCTCTCCCTTTCTGCGCTAACACGAGCAGTATATCAACAGGAGGAGGCGCTGCTATCACCGAAGGAGCCGTCAAGGCCAAATAGCCCTGCCATAGGTAATCGCGGCCAGCGCTCCCCACATCATCCTTCCCAAGATTCACATCTCGGAAGTATATTTCGCCTAACGTAGAGGCGCAGGAAACCCTCTCATCTTTTTTTTCTCTTCCCGATCGCACCACTCCGGTCCGCGAAGTCCCGTCTGGGATTGCTGGGCTCGACAAGGGGTGCTGACGAGAAACCAAGAAAAAAAAATTAGTTAGGTAACAGGCAATAAGTCCAAGTTAGTAAAAGACTCAAACATATCCCAGACCCCCAACTTTTCATCCACTCCTCCTCCTCCACCTCCACCCCACTTCATCGCGACCTTCGCAGATCGGAACTCGCTGCCTTCGGCCTTTCGGAACATCTTAATATATCCTTTCCAGTCCTTCGCTATATCGTATTAGGGCGTTCTAGCGGCCTGCTGCCTGCCTTGTTACTTCTTGTCGCGCTCTACTCCATTCTGCCCTTCCTATCCGGCGCCTCCTGCCATTTCCCGTTGCCATGAGAAATTGTAGGTCATGTAAGGCGGACTATATGGGCTATGGCAACGTAAAACGATGCGACGTGACTTCAATTATCTACCGACCTATAAGTCGATAAACACACGTTCAACGGTTTAGACCCCCGCGATCTGGGTTGGTGCTGGCGCCGGATGCTAGGCAGGGCGGGAGTCGCATTGGAACTTACCGGGAGACGCCCCCGCAAGGCGTCGTCGTATGGGCAGGAGATCTCTCTGCCCTTGCAGGATCGCTCGGCCACCGAGTTCGTGTTTGACCGGGGAATCCTTATTAATAGCTTATCTCGTCACTTTCCCGCGCTCTAGTAAGATCTCCCTTTTTCTTCAAGCTATTCGGCCGAAACGGCCGTTGGATGTTCATGGCTGTGCGTAAACTGGAGGGGTCCGGTAACATGTATTCGTGTCAGAGTATATATATATCTTATCTTATATATACATATATATACAGGTACAAATGAAGAAGTTGCGCAAATATAGAGGTACCTAAAAATATAGGTTTTCGGCGTGTGCTACAATGTAATACATGCGGTGCAGTTGGATAGTTTTCACTTGTCACTTTTACATATGAGCTCAGCTTATTGTTCTCTCGATCTTCCAAACCAGGTACTGCGGTCGTCCCCCGTTCTACCGGAGTTGGATACATCTAATCGGGTAATTTATCAAACGAGCATCAGCTGCGCCCCGCGTTTAAAAAAAATTAATAATAATAACAAGGTGTCAGATAACGGTAGCGAGTGGCGAGTAACCGAGCCGCAAGTAATACATTACATTACATTGTCTTAGGTGTTCCCAAACAGCTCGCGTCTAACTCGCGGTTACGGCGTCAGATGCGTTAAGTGCCGCGTTTAACAAGTTAACCTAAAAAAGCCACGTGGAACAATATGCTGTAAAACCGGAAACTAAATGCTGGCTGACTATGCCCAAACAGCCGAGACGCAACGGCAAAAACCTGGAACCAATTTTATTTGAGTTGTTACAGGAAAAATAAAATAAACAAAGTCGTACAAACGGCGACAAACAGCTGGTGCGGCACTTGGAGTTCGCATGGGTACCTAGTGTTGGATACGCAATATAGCTATGCATCGCTCCTACATACACCACCTGCCGTCCATTACCTATCACTATAGGCGGGTCCCAGCAGCGTACGTGCTCGCATTACGTATATGTGGTTTAAATTTATATCGCATTTGTATCAGCCCGCCCACTATATGTCCCAGTTAGGAATATCTATCTTAAGTACTTACTTATTGAAGTAAACGCCGAGAGGATTATTTTTTTAACTAGCCTTAAAATAGAAATGCCGAGGTGGGAATAGAAACCGAACTAATGGGGGATAACAAAAAATAAAAAATAATGTCTTCTAGAACTACAACATGCTAGTGAAATGCCCGTTTGTATGTAAGAAGTACCTCGGTATAGGTATTAACATTGTCGGGATGTAAACAAGGCTTGGCAACGAACTGACGAGAGGGTTACCTATTGTGAGGTAACTTTTTAGATGGCGACTATTTTTAGCTGCACAACTCAAGGTAAGGAGCCAATAATAATAGCGTTTCTTTTTTCTATACCTTACTAGCGTAGCTACTAGTGCCTCTACTCCGGTATTGTACCACCTATTCTTTCGGTCCGCTAAGGTCGTTCTCCACCAGAGCTGATGATGGATTAGGCGGGGCTAAAAAAGACGTAAATTCTTCAGAGGTGGACTTATAAGAGGCAGCTTATGTGGGTTTTCTGCATATACCTAAGCTACCTAAGTACCTAAGGTAAAAAAAGAGGTTGGGGGGCAGTAAGGAGATCTACAACCTAACAGGTAGGTAGGTAGGTAGTTACAACACAACCCGGCGATAATTTGTTGTTTTTGCTTTTTAAGAGGTTCGTCGTACAGGAGTTCCGTATAAGTCAAGTAACAGCATTCGTCGTTGTTGTACTCTCAAGGGTAGGTACTGTTTGCATGGCATGCCATCTACTACCCACCTGAAAGGCTTGCCTAAAGGGCAACCTCTAAAGCACACCCTCCCCCCAATCCAGCCAGCCGGGTGGGTAAGACTGCAAGCGCGTCGCAGTTCCCGTTCCCCGGGTGTGGTATATGTGGTGTATGTGGTGTGGTAGTAGCATCCCGACCCTATCAGCGCACAGTGAGCTGTTTTTTTTGCCTGTACGTCCGGTTCGACGCACTAGACGTTGTGTTCCCTAAAGCATCATAGCGTTCCATGCTAGGTACCTACCCTACCAAAGATAGTGTACCTTGTATGCATGGAGCGCAGGTACCCACGATCTAAGATGGCCTAGATTGGTGGCCTCAGAAAAAAAAAAAAAAAAAAAAAAAAAAAAAAAAAAAAAGACACCTGCGAGGCTGGCTGGCTGGCTGGCTGGCTGGCAAGGCAAGGCTACGCTCTATAGGTCGACGTGGGGGCGAAATCGTCAACTACATATTAAGGGATTATTACACGGAATTATACACTTCCTCTTATACAACGTTCCTAGTCGGCCACCAAAGGTCAAGATGCTTCGGCGCGGATGTCCTTAATTTATTTCGCATTAGGAATTCATAATTTAAACAAATTTCACCCCTTGATCGTTGACTTCGGTAGATATAATTAAAATAGACTTGGTAATAGATATATGATTAATCAAACTCCTAAACACCTCCAAGAGGAGAAATAAATATACGCTTATTTTGACGCCATCTTGCCCGGGTATATCGATTATTCCCGCCTCTGCAAATTCTTGTTTTGTTATTAGATAGAACTTGACGCAAATCAATTCGACTCATTATCAAGCATGCATTTGTAGTGGCATGTTTAGAAACTTCTATTTGTATTAGTAACGGCGATGCGGGTGAAATAAGGATGAAATAATAAATAATAGCTTAGAAATCACCCGGACTTGGCTGGATTATTCAGCCTTGAAGATTACATATGCACTACCTATGTATATGCACGCATAGTCGATTTATCCCTAGTCACGAAACATGGATGATTCTAGTATAGTTTTCAGTAAAGTAAGTGTTTATTGAGCCGCCATTTTCCGAAATCGCATTGTATTGCCTAGTCGGTGTATCATCCCTAGGCCTGCCTGTTGTCCCGCCTCTATATCTCGCTGAGAGTTCTAGTCTAAGTAGTGTAAAAAAACGCATTATCGTGACCGGACGATAGCGCCGAGTGCCGTTGCTCGATGACTTTGCGGGAACGAACGACAGAGGTACCAATGGGTTATCGGCTGTCCCATGCAGACCATGAGAACCAATTAGTATCGCTGTCTAGAGCGAAGCCGGTTCGTC